CTACACCTGCCTCAGCTGTGGCGTGTGCCGTTTGGTTGTAATCCCGGTCAGATTTACCGGTCCCCTGCACGCTTGTCTTGTGCCCTGATGTAGTGAACCACAAGAGGTACCGAAGCCGGGGTCGGGCGCCTTGCTGCAGCGGGCCCGCTTGTATTGCCGGGGAGAATCTCAAGATTATGTAAAGTAATTCAGCGAGTGATATGAGAGGAGCTGGCCACCGCTGACAGCAGGTCTAGCAGGTATGTAGGTCACACAGCGGAGGCCTCTTTTGCATTTTTTCCCTGCCTTGTCTATTTTTGTTTTGTCTCCCTTTCTCACTTCTTTGCTTAATCAGTTATTCACTTTCTCTTTTCATCTCGGGGAATATCTCTGTTTTTATCTCCTTTATTTCTCTCCTGACTGGCTGTTTCACACTACTTGGACAAAGTGGGCAACAGGGACAGATTGAAAACAGGGGGATCAAGAGTAAGAGACATTGCCAGCGAGGACAACATTTCTCCTCTCTGCCCCCCCTGTCTCCTTAAACTCTTGTTAGGTCTTTTCACTGAGTTTTTCGGCCACGTATGTTGTCAAATGTTGGCCCCTTCCTTTCTCTGGCCATCCTTCTGAGCTCCCATCGTCTTGCTTTCTTTGAGTTGCAGCTTAACGTGAAAGCGGATGGTGTCCTGTACTCTTTTTTTTTTTTTCTCTTTTCAGTCATTCAGAGTACTTTTGTGTTTTTCGTCTTGTCAAGCACGGCCCCCGGCCCTGTGAAATGAGCTTTTCAGCTTGTTTAGGGGACCCTGACCCAACTTGTAGCCGCCCGCACGGAGCCACTATACTGCAAGGTTACCCAAACCCGCAGGGGAGCACAATGCCGCTCGCCGTCCACCGCCCCACCACCTTTTGTCAGGGAGAAGAAAGGCGGAATATTAATGAAGACTCTTGGCTTTTCAAGAGGACGGCCGTATCGAGGGGCGGTCAAAGTGTTTATTGAGCGGGCTTGTTTTCATCTCCCTACCCTACAGGTCACGGCTCTGTGCTCTTTAATTGGCTCAGATTGTCAGACAGTGTTCCGTCTAATAGCAAAGAAAACTCCAGCGAACGCTCCAAACAAAAAGACTTTTTATTCTTCCCGGGTTTTTAGAGTGGCAGCTCATGCAGCTATTTCCACAAGCCTGCACAACAAACTTAACATTAACATCGGAAAATGGTCTGCTTCCCACATTTACTAGCTCATTAGTTCTTCAGGTTGGGTACTTGTTCCACCCGGCTTTTGCTTTGCTTGAGCAGGGAGATGTCTTTAATTATCATTGCAGTAGGCGTATCAGCGCCGAAGCTATTAGTCCGTGCAAAGTTCAACGAGGAGCTCTTTGATACTTGTTTAATATACATAGCCCAGTGCAGACCAGACTCAAGCCCCTCAAAGACCACCCAGCTTGAATTAATTCCGCTCTCATCTCCTGAAAGGAATGACCATGACATTTTCCCATCTTACTCTTTCAAGAGGACGTGTTATTGATGGAGAAGCAGCCCCTCCGCTGCTGCACAAACGCCACAGAAACCAAAGACTTTCACCAGATATTTGATGAACTCATGCAAAATAAAACTGCACACACAAAGACATTGAGCCGGACATTCAGTCAGTAAATGTTTTTCAATTGTGTTGCATTTACTTTGGCCATTCGTACGTAAGTGGTTGTTTTGGAAAAGATCCTGAGCTGGCAAGTGAAGGAAATGATTTTCAGCAGCTCCCGGACTCCCGGAGCTTCTCATGGGTCGCATCAATTGTTTGAAAGGGAGCAGCGGACACCTGCGCGGGGGCTGGCGGGGATCAAAGCTCATGGAGCTGTTCGGAGAGACGGCGGAGCAGCACCACCACGCCGAGGTTTTGGGGGATCAAATGAACAGAATAAATTCTCCTGGGGAACTGACACCGTAGGGCACAGACGCTTCTACACCATCGATTTTTACTCCCTCGCTGAAAGAGAAGCGGATTTGAATTAAAGACAGTAAGGTTTCCCGTGGCTGTGGGACAAAAAGAACCTCCTGTTCTGCCCAAGGCGCCTGTCTGGAACATTCAGCAGAGGCGATTTCCCATGATGCCATTTGGGTGACCCACAGGAGCTGCCATCCCTCTGAGCTGACTGAGCTAAAATGACACCAACACTAAAAAAGTGGCGGAGGCAGAACTGTTCTTTGAGGATAACGGTGAAATAATGAGAAAACTTGTCATACAAAAGCAATAGGGAATATAACGTACATTTAATGTATTAATATAATGCTCTCAAATGTTTTCAGGAGTGGTTCAATACTGTGGTGCGGTACACTAATGCTGACCAACAAAACGCTAACTGCTTCTTCTCTAATAAATGAAAGGAAGGTGGGGGATGTAATTTTCTGCTTGTCTGCATACAAGGGTGACTTATGCCCAACGCTCTTCCTTCCTCTCCCCTTTCTTATGCGTGCAGATTTGAACATGCACACACATGCACACACACATCCTTCCTCTTGAGCTAGAGGCCCTTTCTCTCCAGGATATTTTCACTGGACTCCTGAAAGGCTGAAGTGACATGAAATTAAGTTAAAAGTGTCAAAGAACGACAAGTTTGGTAAATGTTTCAAATCGTGTCTTCTCATCACTTAAATCTCTTACATCTCATGAAAACCACCTAAAACATTCTGATAATTGGAAAGATAAAAAAAGAGCATGGCGCTATGTGAAGAATAAAGAAATTAACATCAGACACCTTCTCAGTCACTTTTTCTTCACAGAGCAAAGTTTTGCAAGTATTAATATATGTCAGAAGAACAAAAACTGTTTATTGAGATCTTTCTATGAACACCCTTAATAGCCCATGCAGTATTCATACATATTATATATTAGTATATAATCCACTTGGATTACGTTATGTACTGGAAAGTTACATAGCAGAAGGAAGGACGGGAGGAACTGTCAAGGACCCCATAGGGTCCCAGTTTTAAGAAGCTGTCTGGTTTCCTGCTGAGGGAGCCAATTCCGTCTACTGTTTTCTCTCTTCCTTATCAGCTCTCTGTACCCCCCCCCCCCCCCCCTACACCTTGTTTATGTGTTTACCACAGCGCACACACCCTCCTCTTAAATGATAGCCCCTATACTGTCAGCACACTGGAGTCAAATTAGAGAGCGAGACATAGGCGCATGGTTGTTCCCACCGAGCCCCCGGCAGGCAGGGGGAGGCTGAAGCCGCAATCAATTGAAATTTTGCTTGGTCTTGATCAGTGCTGGATAGTAGAGGAAGAGGGTGCGGCCCTCGCACCCAGACCGTGTTGTTATTGCACAGTCTGGGGAAGGAATACGCGTCTGGAAAGAGGCCATGTTTCAGTGAGCTCTTGCTGCTGCACACCGGCACGCTTTGCCTGCACGTACTGCGAAGGCAGAATGATACGAGTCTCATTTCCAACACTAATCGCCAGGCACATTCCGCCTCCTTTGCCATGAGCTTTAGTATCCGTGACGTGAAAGTGGTAATGCACGGCATATCAGAGCATTTGCATGCATAACTTATTGACGCCATACGCCTGATTCTCAAACATGTGGCAACTGTCAGGAAACACCCCGTTGATCTGCTTGTTTCCTGTCAATTTATTACATTACAATTATAATCTAAAGCTGGTTAATCATGTATTGCTTCATTATAATGACGCAGGTTCTGCAGAACCTGGTCTCATCATTTTGTCTGTTTCTGTCGGTCATGATAACATTGTACTCAAAATAATTTTCCAGGATTACGTGACATCATTGCAAATATTCAGACAGATTTTACTTTTATCTAAACAAATCACCGTTAATTGAAGGGAAAATCAAAAGTGTGCATACTGACAATAATAATCTGAAGCTGGCATTTCTTCCCCCATTGGACGATCTAGGAGCTGTGATGCTGATATGTATATGTATCAACATATTTGTAAATTACTGGAATAATCTAAATAATAGTCCTGTTGAAAAAAACAGTAATTTTTTGTTCCTTGGAGAGTTGCATACCCGAGATCAAAAAAAGATTGTTGTTGCTTCATCCTTCCTGCTTTTCAACACTCTCTAAATCCCGATGGATTCTCCGCGAGAAGAAATCTAATTCCAAAATGTCCAAGATTAGATCGGTAGATCAGTCGTGTGTTGAAGAAGCGGTGCAATGTATTTTCTTCACAGATAGCAGCCTTCTTAACACCATTTTGCCAGCAAGGCGAAAGGAGCTTTTCTTCATGCTTTAGGAACATTTGCATTCTCGCATCCCATCCTACAATTATAACCAAGTTGTGTTTGTGTGAGGAATTCAATTACCGTGACCGCAGACTTGTTAAGTGTAAAGATGCAGAACCTTTTTCTACTCGCTCTTCTACCGCGCGACTAAGCAGTTGTATTTGTTTACATCATTGCTGGACTGCCTGGGGAGAGCAGTTATTTTTATGGTGTGCTTTGTTTGGATGGTTGTTTTTCCAAAGCGGGAAGTGGCAAGGTTTGCTCAGGGAGTGACGAGGAAAGAGTTGTGTGACTACACAGCGAGAATAGAGAGGGGGGGAGAACGATGTGTGTGTGTGTGTGTGTGTGTGTGTGTGTGTGTGTGTGTGTGTGTGTGTGTGTGTGTGTGTGTGTGTGTGTGTGTGTGTGTGTGTGTGTGTGTGTGTGTGTGTGTGTGTTGGGGGGTCTCAGGCAGCCTTAAAGCAATGGGAGCCTAATTAATTTTGCATGTGTCGCTCTCCCTTCTCGCATTTGTTTTGTTCTTTTTTTGAAGAATAACTTTAGGAAGGCGCTGAATTTCCAGGCATGAGAGACGTCACGACAAATGTAAATGTGGGCACGATTATGAAGTTGCTCTTGAATTCCCGGAATGGTTTTCGGCACAAAGACATTTGGCCTAAAAAGAGCACAAATGATTACTCGTACCTTCTTCACCCGCCCGTATAATCAACGGCACCTCCGTGAAGGGATTGACATTCAGGATGAGTGACATGTCTGTATCTGTATGTGCTCCACATTTCAGATGTATCTGAGATCAGCAACACTGGCACCAGCAATGGAGGTGAGTAGAGATCATGCTCCCCCCCCATGAACTATGCGGTGTGAGTGGGGGGGCTGCGACGCATCGCCGCCACTTAGCAGACACCTCCCTGCTGTTTGCTCCCCGTCTCCTTTTCTTCCTTTTATTGCTTTGCCGTCTCTTCTACTCAAGGGTGGATACTTCTGTCAACGTATCTGCCCACATCCATAACATTCCACATATTAGGCTTCTGATTAAACGTCGTATGCACTTTTAGTTTAGAGGTAGAAAACGGCAGCGTCAGAAAACCGGTTGTTTAAAAAAAAACATGACTGTTATTGTCTATTCAAAAAGTTCTTGTTCACTGCATCTAACGTCTAATCCCACTTGGGTTGATTCATGAGCTTGGCGAGTCGCAGATAATTATTTGGTAAATTTGTGACTTTCTGCACAGGAAGAGGGCCGACAGATGCCTCATTATCATTTCCCCCTCTTCCTCTCTCTTGTCTTCTCATTTCTTTCTCCTACTCTGATCCAGAGGAGATGAAAGATCCTGTCGAGAGCTCAGAAGAACCTGATTCTCTTCTAACTGACAGCATTCAGTCCAAAGGTAAGCGAGCACTCACGCTCACTGGCTCACTCTCGTCTCACACTATCTCTCTATATAAGCGGATTCCTATTAGTGGCCACAGCTGCTGAATTATAATTCACTTCATCCTCAGCGCTGTGCAGCCGAGTGTTACCCAGTTTCACCCTGATTGTCTCCATTTTCCCCTCCGTCCGTCTCCGCCTTCCTCCCTCTTTAGGGGCCTCATTGTACGAGATTTTGGTATGAACTTGTCAGCACGTCTCTGAAAATTGAGTGTGATGAATTGCCTGCAAACTCAACTATCGGACGTTTAATAAATCAAGTGTGCAATGCATATTATTTTAACATTCAGCCAACTCGGACTGTAGGAGCAATAATCATGCTGATAAATCATATTTGATAAGGATACGGTACTGTTGTTATTCTCAGGTCTCAGTTGAGATTCAGGTTAATAAAACTGCATGTGTTAGAATGTAGAAATATTTAGAGAGTGCTTTGGATTTTTTTATGCCATTGTTCCGTGGAGAGTTGTTGCCAAAGGGTGGGATTCGGATTTGGGCGTCTGAGTTTCCAGGTATGAAAAAAAATGATTAAGCAACTGTTGTGAACAGATTGCCAGGGTTCAATAAATAGGACGGACTAGCAGCATATGAAATAGCTTGGCAGAGGCAAACGGGTTGGTGTGCAAAGGAGAGAGCTCAGTGGATGCCAAGCGAAGCGGCAGAAGAGAAAAAAAGCCTGTTGTCGAACAGGCGTGTGGATCAGGTGGGATTGTGTACGACAGACCTGGGAAGCAAATGGTTTGCAGTTAAACTGAGCCGTGGTATGTTATCAACCCAATGACACTGGGCATCACTGCAGACAGCCCGGGTTTGTGAACAAAGAAAGCAGATTGTTTCAGCTTTACTAACGATTCACACTTTGAACAGAAAAAATGGATCAGTGTCCAAATGTCTGTATGTCGCTGCTCGATTGACTTTTGTATATAGATTCAATCCTGGTTACGTTGTTATTGACTAGCTTGCACTGAAGTACTGGGGTACAGTTTGACTACCATGCAAGATATATTAAACTAGACCAAATCTCTACTTATTATATTGCCTTGAAATCCTTGCAATATAACCAGAATCTGGAAATATTTGGATGTTTTGCTTATTTGCTCTTTTATTGCTAGTTTCTTAATTATTTCCTTTGATAGTAATGTTGCTCATATTAGGTGGTGTCCAATCATTATTTCAGTCCAGCGGAGATTGTTCGTGGAAGTCTCATCATGCAAAACCTGTCAGTCAGACTATGAACTTGTTTTCCATCCAGACACTGTTGAGAAGAACGAATGAGCAGCTGAGGGAAGGACAATCAACCCGTTCTCACAGGCAGCAGAACTGCGCTGAGGCCAACCAACCACGCTGGTGTCAGACGGGCCCGTGTCAGTATGGGCTGTGACCGCGGCCCAGGACAACCAGTTACTCACAAGATGCTCACACCCCACCTGTATCTAGCCTGTTCCCACCTTGTTAAGAAACTACCCATCCCTGAAGTATGTATATGTATGTGCAAAGACCTTGCTATATGACTTGAACATATCAACCAGAACGAGATGAGCCATACCTCACCGTGTGTTACAGATACTTTACTTTGCCAGCAGGGTGCGATGAGATAAACCAAGTGCAAGTCTCCTAATTGTTGACCCATGGCCACGGTGGGCCACAGTCGTGATGAAATTTAACCGTGGAATTACCTGACATCACCCCGCAACGCAGCACGCCTGGCATGTCTCCTCACACTCTACTGTAGCTCCAGCTCCATTGTTTCGTCGTATCAGTAAAAACGCTCTCGATTCAGACCCGCAGTCTGCAAGGCGGTGTGTCGGTCCCCAGCCGCTTTAACTAGGAACATCCCTGATTACATGTGACGTCTGCCTCTGCTGTAACTGCAGCTTAACTCGTTTTTACCAAGAAACTGTTCATCAAGGTACACTAAAGAGGATATTAGAACAAATCAATTGGTTCGTGTCCCCCTTATACTGCCGTCAGAAATGCATGCCAGATAATTGCTTTGAACTTCATCAACATAAATTACAGTCCTCTTCGCTTTGGCTTGTCTCCTTTACCAGATTGTCTATAACTATATTGAAGGAATCTGCCTTATTTCATATCAAACTACAACATCGTCGTCACCAGGAGGTGGTCCAAGTGGGAGTTCTTGGTTTTGATTGCTTGCAGATGATTTGTAATTTTGAGTACAACATGTAATGACAGATGCCTGTCGTTAATGGTTTCCTTTTTTCTTCCTCATTTGACTTTTAAACATGGTTTTGGGTTCTCTTAAATGTTGTGATTTCTGAATTATTTTCATTGGTGCCATACTAAAGATCAGATTAATTATAGTTCTATGAAATGATGCCTTCATACTTTGATGTTTGCTTTGCGAAACTATAATAGAAACAGCCAATAAAACTTAAAGGTTGAAGCCACGTCTCAGCGTTTATGTATCTTGTCAGTGAACTTGTGTGAACTTGATTAACTTTAACAGAGCGATCGCTCGCGTGTCTCTGGTGGACAGAGACAATTAGTCTGTCCTTTGATCTCCAGCACGCCGCCTCTCTGGTCCTCAGGGCTTGTCTGGTATCGTATGGGAGGAGACGGACCTCCTCACGCCAGAGCTCCTCCTCCTGTCTGAGACGCCCGCTGACGGCCAGAGACCTCACAAGAAAAAAACATGTCAGCTCCCAGAGGAACCTCCACATCCAGCTCTTTTCTGCCCGGATCATGATAGCTTCATCTTTGGTAAATGTGTACTTTAATGCATCTCATCAAGTGACAAACAAAAATCCTAACTAGCAGAATAGAGCTGAAAACATCCAATTAAGACTGGACGACACTGGCTATGAACTCCACAGAGCGCTAAAGGTGAGATGTCTCCATCACGGTGAGGTGCCTCTAACCCGCACTATCATATTAATTATGGGTTCAACAATGAACTAATGTGTGTCCTCACATTTATTGTCATCTCAACTCGTCCTCTAGGGCAGTGGTTCCCAACCTCGGGGGGTTTTGCAGCTTCATGACCAACCCGGAACCACAGGTCAGAGACAAAAGCAGAACCGATGACTGGTGTTCGTACCACCTCCCCCAGAGCGGCTTGGTGGGGGGGGTCTTAGAATGTCCCTCAAAGGGGGGGCCTGACACAAGTTTGGGAACCACTGCTCCAAGTCACTGAATAAAGTTATAGAGCTATAGAATAGAGGAATATTATTTCTTTGTTTTTTTAGGGCGGCACGGTGGCGTGGTGGTTAGCACTGTCGCCTCACAGTAAGAAGGTCCTGGGTTCGATTCTGCCCAGTGGCCTTTCTGTGTGGAGTCTGCATGTTCTCCCCGTGTCTGCGTGGGTTCTCTCCGGGTTCTCTTGATTGGGAACTTTAAATTGCCCGTAGATGTGTGAATGGTTGTATGTCTCTGTGCAGCCCTGCGATTGGCTGGCGACCAGTCCAGGGTGTACCCTGTCTATCGCCCCAAAAGTTGGCTGGGATGGACTCCAGCCCCCCCGCGACCCTGTGTGCAGGATAAGCGGTTTGACGATGGATGGATGGATGGATGGTTTTTTTGGGCTTCTAGTTAAAAAAAGTGCTCCAACTGGAAACGAGCCGGAGAAGTTGTGGGGACATGGTTTGTATCTTAAACATGGAGCCGCCAGAATGACACCCCATGACTTTTGATTCAAAACTCTGCAAATCCAGTTCAACACCGACAAGAAAAAATCTCAAAATTCCTGTTTATGCTAATATCTGGAAAATTAAGCTACAAGTGGGCCTCAGGACGTTTCTTCTCCACGTTGGGGCCTACGATTAAAATAGAGGAACATTGTGTTCTAAACATAACCTAAAAATAATAATATCCAGTCATTGTTTTATTTTCTTTTTTAAAGCATCAACAACAGGTTTTGTCACCTGTTGGTGTGAAAGCCAATGAAAACCAGTTTCACATCAATTTAGCAGCTAGCATGTTTATGTTCCGTTAACTTGTCGCATGCCAAGCGAATGTCAGGAGTGATTGTCCCTCCAACGGAGACGGTTTAAATTTTAATGACTCCATTTAAATGTTGCATGTCAGAACGGAGTGTTCCCTGAACTTGAGCAGCATAGGTGGTGTCAAGGGAGACTGCTTAATCGCACAGGCTTGCTGCCACCCACCAGCTCCCCAGCATACAAAACACTCTGCTGCCGAAATAACAAACCCCCCTAATCCACAAAACAGCCGGCCGTCCTAGTTTACAGCTAACGTTATTGGATTTTCAGCCATACATCTGAGTTGTGAGGCAGAAATAGTTCCCTCGCACTGCTACAACTTCTCCCAGGCACCGTATGTATGTGTGTGGAGGAGAGAGTACTGACGCCTGCATTGAGCGTATGTGTCAGGTTTTATTAGGCTTCTGCGATGTGCACCGTTTATTCTATTTTCCAGATGAAAGCTGTGTGGACCTCTTGGTATAAAACATGCATTACCATGTTCTCTCTGCCTCGTAGACACTCTCTGCCTGTTCCCCCCGCTGCTAACTCCTCCCACTGTCTGCCACGCTATTGCGACCCGCCGCCACACTGGCTGTTAAACACACAAACACAAACAAATTGGAGAAAATGATTCCATCTCTTTAAATCCCCGTGCAGGATGAGCTGTTTTTATCTGAAGTGCAGTGTTTGTCCTTCATAAAAATTCATCGCCCCCCCACAAGAGGCAAAAGCAACACTAAAGGTGAACTAAGCCAAGATAAACACTCTAATTGGGAGGCAAATATACGCTATTCATTATGGATGCCTGTCTTCAAAGGCAGTAAGACACACTGACATGTTGCAAGGAAATTGACTTGCAGCGTTGCTGGTTTGTTTGGGACAATTGCGAATACGTTGATTAAACTCCACAAGCAGAAGACGGTTATGCAGATTACGGTTGTTGTCTTGACTAAAAAAGCACCCTTGTGTCATACAGAACAGAAGAGAAAGAGGATTAATAAACTAATTCTATCTCTTTTGCTCCCTGTTGTTGCTTTAATTATCAACTTGATAATGTGCTTACTCAGGTGATACAACACATTTTTGCCATTATTGTAGCAATTTGTATTGCTGCTTTCTTTCAAAACAAAACGCAGCTTAGTTTTGTGTAACATAAGACATTTTATTAGGTTATTAAACTAATGTGTGTACAGTGGCGATGTAAAAGTCAAGTTATTTGGTCGCTTTACTAGTCAAGCTGTTTACCACAAAGACTGATTAACAGCAAAAATAAATAATATACGGTCTGGTGTTAAACTTGATCACGCTCAAAATGCAATTGCTGCTAATAAACCTAAAAGAAAAAAAGAAAGAAATTCTAGTGAAAGAAAATGAAAAACAGCAGCTTTAAAAATGCTCAGTAATTAAATTGTACATCAATAAATGCATTGCACGTAGCGGTAACTTTGTTAGCAGTTTGGTTATGCTGATGTTCGCTGACTCATTAATGCTGAATATCACCTGGATTTTATTTTTCAGTTTCTTTGGAAGAATCATCCATGCATTTAACAGTATGCAAATGACACAGTGCAGGAAAAATGACATGTTCAATTTACAAGTTTACAATTCAAATCTAGAAATTACACGTAGAGAAAAGATGTATTAAAAGTTTAAAATGTCAAATCTTTAACCTATTCCAATTTAACTTCACGTTAACTGTCAAATTGTAGTTTAATAATAGTTTACTTTCCCACCAAGAGGCTGCAGTGGATCTGGGTTTTCTCACTGTGCTGATAACTGTTGATAAGATGCTAAAAGACACAACATTAGTTTGAATAAATAGCTTGAGAAAATGTTAACTAGTAAAAGTTTATTAATTTTCACTGAAAAACAATACCTGTTTATGTAAAGGCCTCCCTTTGAAGCTTCATACGTATTCTGCTGAAAACCGGTCAGTGCAACACCACTCAGAAACCACCTACTGTCTCTAAAGGGACTCCGGCAGACACTGTGTGCGTGTCTTATCAGCATTTATGACTCATTACGAACAAAATAAAAGTTTCTAATAAAATAAATTAACATTTAACATTTAGTGTGCTTCTGGACATTGATAATTGATAATTGAAAAGGTATTCATTTGTGTTGCAGTACATTTATGTGTTGATGCCCTTTATTTCATTTTATTTATTTTTTGCAACAAAAAAAGTAAATACCACAGGCATTTAATGTCATTAAAAGTTGAGTTTTTTCTGTGTTTTAAGTTTTTAAATGAAAAGCTTTTAAAGAATTGTATTTCTACCAAGGCTCTAGGATTTGTCAGGAAACTGCACCCGCAGTATTTTCTTACTATTATTTAATTTACTGTGAACAATTGCAGTCAATCAACTAAATGAATAGCAGTTAAGAGTCAAATCGATCCTGGCAGCAGCTTCTACCTTATTGAACTAAACTACTAAAGAAGTTGCCATAAACTTACTATAACAAATGTGCTGGAATTCAACACATTCCTCCATTAAAAAGCCTCTAGTTTTTGAAGTTATTTTGTTGTTGTGGTTTTGTTATTGATGACAATACTGTACATTCAGGGTACTTTACTATTTTCAAAAACAATGTAATATCTTTGAGAGAAAACAGATAGAGTTGATTGGTTTCATATTTAGGCATCTTGCTTGTCAAGGCTGATGAAGTGTTGCCTGGCAACAGGCTGTAGAAAGTGTGGCCAGGAGAATGTAGCCTAAAACAAGTCACGGTTGATTTAAAGATCCAATATTTAATAAGGGCATCAGGGAGGACACAGGAGACGTGTTACCCACACACTTTTCCAGAAGGCAGCATTTCTCCACTTACATATTAAAAACTAGCAAACAAAAAAAACATATTGACAATACTTACCAGCCCGCCAGAATACAAAAGTTGTTTTGCATTAAGTCGAAATCCACCAGTCAAATTGATTGATTTTTATATTTAAATAATTGTGTCTCAAATGTGTTTTACACATTTCTGTCCCCCAAAAAACTCCTCAGGAGCAGCTGGAAACCAGTAGGGAGGCTCAGAAATATGCCAGCTGCTTCCGAGACTAGATCGATGACAAACTAACAGAAAAAGGAAACGTCAAGCTCAGTATTTTCTCAGTACTTTTATTTTTTTGTATTTAGTTTTTAACTCATCTGGCTGGTCGATGGTGACGACAGAACCAGGAATATCATAGTGTTTGTCACTCCAAATTCACTGCCTTCATTCATGTTTCATTTTCTTTTCATTTGTATTTAATTTGATTATTTGTGTTCACACCAAATGATTGAACGGACAGTGGAGATCATTAAATCATGATTTAATGCAGTAGATGTTGTAGTAGTTGCAACAAAGTTACAAGTATTTTGTGTTGTAGCAGTCAAATAAAGTCCTTGAGCAGCTTGTTATTTAAAAAAAGCCATTGAAAAAGTCATAGTATAGTATGTCATAAAACAAGTAATTGTATAATATC